CAAGGCTCTAGAAGATCATGAGAGGGATGCCTTTGATACCTGGCTGATGGAAAAGAAAAGGAGGGAGTCTCTAATCAAGATGAAACCGATTCCAGGTACCGAGGGAGAGCCATCAACTGCCAATGACCTATCCCTGGCAATGATGAACCTTATCAGAGAATGGAGAGACTCTCAGTTTGAAGAAACTGTTCTTGAGGTAATTCCTGACTATCCTGTCCCAATCCCATCATCTCCCAAATCCCCCTTACCTAAACCAGTCACACCAACCACAACCCCACCCCCATCTCCTCCTCAACCTCAGCAAATCCCAACTCCAACACCCAAGAAATCACCCTCTCCATCACCTAAGAAACCATCTTCACCTACTACCTCACCCAAGAAATCCACCACACCCAAACCATCCTCACCTTGTCATCAGATTACCCCCATCAGAAGCCGCTCACCCTCACCTCCTCCTGCTCCACAACATCTGATATCCCCTAACTCTCATCAGACTTCTCCTCATCAGCAACCCAATCATCAGAACTCTCCGCCAGCTCCTACACAGCAATCATCTTCTCCTGCAAAAATGCCAGTACAAACTCTTGTCACAGGCTCTGTCCCATTGCAACACTTCATGACAGACATAAAGCAGGCTGGGAACCAAATTGGCAAAGGAATGGAAAAGCTACTGGAAGCTGAGTATGAGACTGATGCTCATCTCACAAGAGTCAGTGAACATCTCACCAACGGCATCAATATGCTGCTAAAGCATGTAGGCATCATTGCCACAGCTTTAGAGGTTCACAAGGACAAAACTACAGAGAGTCTGAGCAACATTGCCAAGGAGGTGGATGGAATCTCTGCCGTATTATTTCATCACACAAAGGCCCTTGAAGAGCAAGACAAGGCTATTAAGCATATCTCTGATGCGGTAAGTGATCTTCAGTGGTCTCATGACAAAAATACAGAACTTCTGCAAGATATTGAAGGATTGTGCAAAGACAACAAAGAGTTTGAAATCAAATTGATCAATAGTGGAAAGGACAGAGATCACAAGCTGACTCTCCTTGAAGCTACCACTAAGGACATCCAATCCGCTGTTGACAAGCAGAAAGAGACTCTCGAAGGGCTGGTTTCTGTTACTCAGACTCTACCAGGTACACTTGAAGCTATCAAGGAAAACCATGCTTCAGAATTCTCGAAAATTGGGCTCCTACTTGGCGATCTTGTTGATGCCAAAAAGGGGGAAGATAGCAGAGAACCTGTTCCACTTCCCAGAGAAGCAGAAGGTCCAAGCTCCAGAGCCATTAACCCTGCTAGGTACTTTGAAAGAGCTAGGCAAAAAAGGCTAGCTGCAGGTATTCAGAGACCCCCTCCTCGCTTCAAGAGAGGGAAGAAAACTCCCTCGTTTACTCTGGCTCAATGGCTTAACAGTGACTTAGCTACACCTGATGCTGCTCAATTCAGAGAGATGAAGAAGCATATGACACCTACTCAACAAGAGAATCTCATTCTGGATAAAGATGGGCTGATAATTATTAATCATGGTGGTTCTATGCAAGAAGCTGAAGAATGGTGGCGATTGAAAGTGATCCCTGGCAAGGACCTATCTGAAGCCATCAGAAACTATCTAGATTGCCAGCTTGAACCTGCCTGGTCAGAATATCAGAATCCCAGAAATCTTGCTACAATCAGAGCTAGGGTCAATGCTGATCTGAAGGAAATTGAGGCAAAGGAAGCTGATCTAGAAGAGGAAGATATCTAAACTCTATCCTCTTGTTGCTTTAAATATCTTTCATTAATAAGATAACCAGCTTGCCTCTATTTTGCATGGCAATTTCAAATTTTTTTTTCTCTATTGCATTCTGATCATTTATGCTCTGATATCTTGTGTTATTCTATTTATCTGATTGATTGTATCTTACTCTTACTATTCTCCTATGCCAAGTGCCCACCAAGACTGTAAATGAAAGTTTTTTTTAACCTATTTTCTTTATGGTGAAAGGCACTTCTCTGGAGATAGTTTAAGGGTTTTGGCATCATCAAAAAGGGGGAAATTGTAAGGAATAAATGTAATTAGATTTTGATGATGCTATAGGATTAGAACTTTAAAGTACCCCCAAATTAGATTTTATGTATTAGAATTTTCAGTTGTAAGTATTAGTGTAGTCGACGATCAGAGCTGCTCTATTTTGGATCAGATCAGAAGTGCATCAGAACTGCTCGACCAGACGTGCTCTATGAGAACTGCTCCATCAGAGTTCTATTAGCAGAAGTTCATCAGAGTTGCACTATGAGAATTGCTGATAAACTTGGACATCTGATAGCCGATGAGAACTACAGATCAGAAGTACTCATCAGCGGACCTATCAGAGTCAGAGTTCAGTCAGAGACCAGAACTCCATCAGAACTCAACTTATCAGAAGAGCCTGATCAGAGCCCGACTAACACTTAGAAGATTTCAAGCAACATCCAACAGCTATGAATTCAACGGGTAAAAACATTCAACGGCTAGAAGACTGTGCATGAAAGGAAAGCATTTAATGCACATTAAATGAGCCTGATACGCTGAAGGATTGATTGCAAATGATTGACCAAAGAATCCGGGAAGATATATTATAAAAATAGAAACCTTCCAAAACGGCGGTCAAGTCAACTGTACGCGCATTTAATGCAGTTGTCTCCTCCTCCAACGGGCAGACAACCTCAGTATATAAGCTACACATCGAAGAACAGAAAAACAACTTTGCAACTTTGCTACAACTCTTGCAAATCAACATTCAAGCTCTCTTGAGATAAAAATTCTACAACCTTCAACAAGACGAGCTTACGTTGGGAAGATTCAAACTCCAAATCTTTCATCCCCAACAAAACAAGCAAAGTTCATCCTGTTCTTCAACACTTCCAGAACTTCAACTACATATCTCTTGTAACGAAGCAAGTTGGAGAAAACTCTGTTTTCAGAACATCTTCTGCAAAGAAGGGCGTCCAAGTAACTGCAGTAGTGAAGTGGTGATACTTCCGGGAAGCTGAGTGAAAGGACCAGCCATCAGGACGTGGAACTGCATCCTGGGTGGCATCTAGGCTTGAAGAAGACGAGGAGTGCTTCTTAAGTGCTAGGAATTAGCTTTGTAACCGATCTACTTCAAAGCTAGTGGAACAGTGGACTAGAGGAACGAGTTGTTCCTTGAACCACTATAAAAATATCCGGTGTCATTTACTTTACTGCAATTTATTTTACTGCACTTAGGATATTAACTGCTTAACTCTAAGACTCGGAATCTGTGTTCAGCAGATCTTGTTTTCAGAGTTATCAGAAAGGCATTTGCCTTAGTGTTTCTGAGGCTACCCAGACAGATCAGAATCCGCTGCCAAGGCCAGTTCTGATATCAGAACCAGCCTTTCGCTGTCATCAGAATCAGACCTTCTCTGATAAGTCACTTTGGACTCAGAGAAAATTTGAAAAACCAATCAGTCTATTCACCCCCCCCTCTAGACTGATTACCATATTAAACGGGACCAACAGATATTTTGATGTCCATTTTAATGGTTACCTAATTGTGTTTACCTGAAAGACAAGTTATTAATTACTCTCTTCCTATTAAAATATTTACTACATTAGGGTTAGACACAATATTTAAACGAAAAGTATTAAATATAATGGATAATGTAGAAAAAATAGAAAAGAGCACGGAAAAGTACATAATATGACAAATAAGATAAAAACTAGAAAAAGTAATAATAATTGGGTATTTTCAAACCATCATTTTTTTTACTAAAACACCATTTTCCAACCCCCCCCCCGCAATGTTTTGATCCTATCTAGAGCAATTTCTTTAAATTTTAACCAACTAGTCAATAGTCAATACACCCATGCAACGGATGCAATTAATTTATTTTTTTAAAAAAAATTATGCCATGAGCAATGCGTGTATATATATACTTATCGAATAAAAAGAAAAACATAATATTGAATTATGTGAAGTATTAGAGTACACGTGTGATAATTGTGTCTCACAATAGGTGTGATAATTGTTAGAAATACAATAATTTAGAACTCTTGACGTGGTGGGTATGAGTATCGTATCAAACCATCCAAGCCAAAGAGGACCCGGTTAGAAATACAATAATTAATATAAAGTTATCAAATAAACACTATTTCATCCCTAAATTTACTTGTGTAAAGAAGATGGTAACAATTAGTACCACATTACAATCTATACACTATTTTTTATTATCTATCAGGTACTTGATATATCTAATTATTGTGGAAACCCATTTTTCCTTTTTATGAATACTAAAACGTGTAAACACGTGAAGTTGATTGTGTTTTTAAAGTTTCTAAATATGTTCCATACATAAACTAAAATATTTATATTCTATAACATCTCCATTCAACTACCTCACCAAATGAGCTATATAGACTACAAATCTAAAGATAAATATAAGTATAAATCATGGAGTTAAAATTTATCCAGATAAGAAAGAATGTGTGTGTATTGATAACACTATTTTTCATAAGCGGGCCTAGTCATGTTATCATTTATGAAGACATGAACTTGTATATTTTTGTTTACATTTATCCATGTATGTGGATTATAATACTTTTACTTTAAAATTTATTCTTAATAATTACACCATCAAAGTTCCGCACAAATTGTTTTAAGAAAAAAGATATTTCATTTTTATAAGGCAAAGGTTTTGGTAGTTCGGAGATATTGCACCTTGTTAAGATGAGAAAATTAAAAGTGACAAACCATTAGGTAGTTTAAATATAGGGTTATTTAGGGTTTGCACCCTGTTTTATACCCCTAATTGGTCTATGCACCCTAATTTTAAAATCCTTAGCCTTTACACCCTCCAACCGTTAGTCAGCAGTTAGGAAGTTAACTTTGGCTTGAAATGACGCTAGTGCCCTGATCTCAGTAACAACCATACTCGTTGGCATTCTTGTTTCTCAGACGGTCATTTGTTTCTCTCCATTGTTCGCAAGGTGCGAGTGAACGAAATAGGGTTGGGATGAATGAAAGCAATAGATATAACTCTGAAGCTTGCAAGAACCTATGGGTGGATTCAGAAGTACCTACTCGAACGACTGAGCAAAGGATTGAGAGGACATCAAAGCTGCCTGTGAAGAGAAAGTTGGACTCTTTACCTGCTCCAAGTAAGTTGGTTGATGCTTAGGTCTTGAAATTTGATTATGAAGACTCTTTTATAAAGATTTTGTTATACTTACTTTGAGATACTTAGTTTGTGGTTTTTGGTTATTAAGATTAGTATATGAATTTGTCACCTCCAGTTAGGGTACCATTCCATGAAAGTAGCAGAGATGAAGGAATAGCTAGTGATGATTTTGGTGATATATTCATTGAATTACCTCCACTCAACAACTTTGTGAATGTTGCAAATGATGATAATACATCACAGTTTTATGAAGGTATATGCAGTGTACATGGTTCAATATAAATTCATTATGTTGTGTTATATATGAATTTTAGTAAATGATTTCTTTACACTTGTTTATATTGTTGATATAGATGTTACTGTAATGTGCTATATAGGTATTCAATTTGAGCAAATTGTTGATGGGCTAGATGGATATGATCTGAATGAATCAGATGATCCTAATGAATCAGATGAGGAATTAGATCATTGTAGTTCTGATACAGAAGAAGGGAGTGATACAGATGAAGTTCAAGGCACAAGAAATGGGGAGGATATAGGTGAGGTGTTGAATGGTATGCCACACAAAGACTATGACTGCAATGAGCAAACATTTACTTGCTCAGATTCTGTGAAATGGGAAGACAAATTAGAGTTGGCAATAGGAAAACAATGGCTGACTATGGATGCATGCAGAAAATACATCAGAATGTATGCCATCAAGAATAAATTTGAGATTTATTTTCAGAAGAATTGTGCTGATAAGCTGATATTGAGGTGTAAAGGGGAAAGATGCCCTTGGAGGTGTTATGTTATTAGAAAAAATGATGGGCACACGACTGAACTGAAATCTCTCCAAGAAGAACATACCTGTGAGAATGATGGCAGGAACAAGAATAGAGGAGCAAATGCTAGATGGATTGCTAGTATGCTGGCTCAGGACATGAGGCTGCACCATAAGAGTTACACACCCCAAGATATCATTGCTATAGCTTGGAGTAGGTGGACTTTAAACATTTCATACTGGCAAGCTTGGAATGCTAGGCTGATGGCACTTGAAGAGCTCCATGGAAATTATGAGAAAAGTTATACTCAAGTTCCTGAATTGTGCAGACAGATTCTAGCTTCCAATCCTGGTAGTTTGGTTGAGTGCAAGTATGACTCTGAAAATAAATTGCAGTATTTATGTGTTGCTTTTAGGTGTAGCTTGGAAGGGTGGAGAACTGGGTGCAGGCCACTAGTAGGGTTGGATGGTTGCTTTCTAAAGGGGAAATATAGAGGAGTCTGTCTAGCAGCTATTAGCATGGATGGGAATAATGGGCTCTTTCCGCTAGCAGTCTTCATTTGTAGAAAAGAAGATGGTGAGAACTGGGACAGATTTCTAGCATTAATAGCTCCGGAGCTGAAGAAACATCCTTTGCCACTTACAGTCACATCTGATAGGGCTCAAGCAATCATAAGTAGTGTTCAGACACATTTGGGAGTCTGCAATCCTAGAAGCTGCTTTAGACACGTCTTCAAGAATATGAGTAAGTGGTGGAAAGGGGACCACATAAAGGAACTGGCCTGGGCTACTGCTTCAGCATATAAAAAGGTCCACTTTGAAAGAAGTCTTCAGAGATTGGATGAGGCAGCAGTTGGTATCAAGGACTATTTATTGGAGATTGGTCAAGAGTTATGGTCAAGGGCACATTTTGATACAACATGTAAGAGTGACCACCTGACAAATAACTTCACAGAGAGCTATAACAGTTTCATATTAAGCCAAAGGGATAAACCAGTGTGTTCAATGATAATAGGTATATCATTCCTGTTAATGAAGATTATGTATGATAGGAAACTTCAGGCTAGTACTTGGAATGAGAATGATGTGGTACCTAGGGTTGGTGAAATAATGGCAGCTTATAAGGAGAAGCAAAATGATTATGTGACTTGCCCTTCAGGTGAAGGGACTTTCAGTGTGAGAAAATTTACTGGGGAGCATTGGATTATTAACTTAAACAAACAAGAGTGTGAGTGTTGTGAATGGCAGGTCACGGGCATACCATGTGTACATGCAGTGCATTTGATCAGCCATTTGAGACTGCCACTACCTCAGTATGTTCCTATTACCTTTACTTTACTTTTTTGTTTAACTTTTTAATTGAAACTCAAAGATTGTTATGTATTTAACTTCATCTTGCTGCTTATAGATTTTGTAGTCCATTACTGTGTGTGAAGGCCTACAAAGCATGCTATCAAACAAACATTAAACCAATATCACATGAAAGTGATTGGCCTGAGGTAGTATGACCACAAATCTAAAACCAATATATACATTAATACATTCCAGAATCATTAGTAACCATTATTTTTAAAACTGTGCAGGGAAATGAGGTTCTATTGCCACCTAAGCTTTCAAGAGCCCCCGGGAGACCTAAAAACAATAGAATAAAGGGCCATGATGAGACTGAGACACAATCAATTAGTCAGAAGAAGTGTACTAAGTGTCTATCTTTTGGGCACAACAAGAGGTCATGCCAAGGAGGGCCAGTTGCTAGAGGTGGTGGGAGAGGTGCTACTACTGAGAGGGGTGCTGCAAGGGGTGCTGCAAGGGGTGGTTCAAGGGGTGGTTCAATGGGTGGTTCAAGAGGTGGTTCAAGGGGTGCTGCAAGAGGTGGTTCAAGGGGTGCTGCAAGAGGTGGTTCAAGTGGTGCTGCAAGGGGTGAAGCTAGGGGTGGTTCAAGGGGTGCTACTAGGGGTGGTTCAAGGGCTAGTGCTAGGGTTGGAGCAAGGGGTGGTGCTGGAAGAATAGGTGGTAGTACTACTGCCTACCACCAGTAAGTAGAAATATGAATATTTATTTTTGAAGAGTTGTTGACACAACTAGTGTTTACCACAACTAGTTGTTGCTGCAACCAGTTTTGCTCACTGCACAGTTGCAATATATGTGATCTAACTGGGTTTTTTGCTCCTTGTAAATTCTAGACATGAAGCTCACTCTTTTTGTATAAGTACTAGAGCTAACTATACTTGCTAGAATTAGATAACAACAAAGTATCAACACATTGCACTTGCAGTTTTTTGCTCAATGTAATGTATGTAGACCAAAACTACATTATTATATAATGAGTTTGTTACTCATAAGCTGAATTACATCACATACTTGGCCTTCGTATGTTACTTTCCCCCCCATCCTGTTCTACAGTCACTTTAACATTATGATTTTGCATTGGAATGGTTGTTGTTGCTTCACCTCTTGATGGTGTTTGGTTGTTTGGTACATATGTTGTTATTTCTTTCTGTTTTGGTGAGTCTACCCATTTGAATGCTTGACATTGGGGCTGACCTTTGCATCTTAGGAATCTGCAGCCATTACTTCTTGGTTGTTGAGATGTGTATAGCTCCATGTTGTTTGGGCAGCCCTCTATACAAGGTATGTGTTTATAGGTGCATGACTTCGCCCAATGACCTTGTTCTCCACAATGAAAACACTAAACAATAGAGAATATGTTATACTTATTAGCAAGAAGGAATAAATTTTACAAGTCATACCTTACACCAGCCTGTTCCTCCTTCATGTGCAGCCATATGCTTATTTCGATTCAATACATAGATATTTAGTCCTCAGAAGGATGGTTATTTTATAGGGAGTAATGTGGAAGGGTGGTTACATATTGTTGGGTGAGCATTTATGAGTCATTTATGGTTGGATGTATATATTTATTGAACTTTGACTAGTAAGTATTCAACAACATTACAGGACCACTCCACAGAAGAATCAATGGGTTGTTCACTACTTTAATTTGTGTTGTTGGTTACATTTATGCTCGTTTTTTCCTTTCTTAGTTTTTTATTTTGTTGTTATCTTTTTGCTTTATGTTCTGATTTTTCTGGGTTTTCTTTGTGTTCTGAGCTTTATGTTCTGAGATTTGTGTTCTGGGTTTTGTGTTTCAGTCAGTTTGGGTTATTTAGCCTAGGTTTTGTGTGCTTAGTGTGCATTTCAGTTTGGGTTATTTAGCATGGTTTTCCTGTGCTTACTGTTATTTCAGTTTGGGGTTTTTAGCATGGCTTTTGTGTGCTTAGTGTGCATCAGTTTGGGTTATTTAGCTTTTGCATTTGAGTTTCACTTTTGTAGCATGGCTTCAGTGTTTATAAAGGAGCAGATGGGAGAAAAAATGAGAAATGAACTGGGAAATTCGTATTCTGTGAAGCTGCAGCCAGGAGGGTATTAATGGCATTTACTTTTTTTTGAATGCTAACTAACAGACCCGGTTAACTTAGGGTGTAAAGGCTAAGGATTTTAAAATTAGGGTGCACAGACTAATTAGGGGTATAAAACAGGGTGCAAAGTCTAAATAACCCTTAAATATAAAAATATGGTGAATAATGATAGGAACCAATCATAGGCATTGTAAAATTGGTATCCTAACACATTAGTGGGGTATCATAATGGGGTATGCAAAATCTCAATCACAAAATTTTACTTTCATATTGCACATCGAGTTAATTTTGGCCACACCTTATGGGGAAGTATTAATTATCATAGTTGTACTTCATGCAATGTTCATAACTGGGTTCATCATGCTCAAATATAGTATAGTACTCTATTTAATATTTTAAAATTGGAAGATTTAATTTTTCTATCTTTATGATGTCATGTCTCTTAATTAATTTTGCATATCTATGTTTCTCATATTCTTTTAACATTTCTATTTATTTCTTTCAAAAAATAACTTTATTTATATTTATTGTCTTTATCATCCTTTTCTAATATTTTGTTTGTAACTAACAATTACTAATTATGTTTATACTTCATCATTGATTATAAGTACATATATGCGACTAAAATAAAGATTGTTTAAACAAATGTGAACGTTGATTAGAGTAATAATGAAATCATAGTAACTTATCTTCATTTTTTAAATTTAAGTTACTATGACACTGCATTGTAGTAATTATTAATTTATTTGTGTAAATAAGTTTCATTTTAGTAATATTTTTGAAAAAATCCATTGATTATGATTAATTATTCATTTATTTTAGCTCCAAATAAATTTCTATTCATGAGGTTTGGATACAGTTCTGAGTCAATGCCCGGACCTCTGCTTTGGAAGTCCAACCGCATACACCTGGGGCCCGTTCCGAACCAAGCTAACTCACATTTCCACAGTTCATTGGAATTTCGATCGCTTTATCATATTTCTACCCGGAGAATCTCTCATTTCCTCTCTCTTCTTTTTTGTCCAAGTTCTGTAGCGATTCAAAACCCTAAGATTAACGTAAACGAAGAAGGATATTTCAGGTGCCATTGTACACTACATTTACGGAGGTTTGTGTATTTTAATTCTGGTTTTCTCCAAATTTACTTATCTCATTGCAAACCCTAGCTCTCTGTCTCTTCCATCACCACTACATGCTTCATTGGCTGAACCTCATATAGTGTTTTGGCACGCTGAGCTATAAGCTCGTACAACTGTTCCATGCCTGATTGAGGCTTCAATATGTGTTTCACATTTATAAATTGTGACAGCATTTATAAATGTTATTTATTGACCTTCCTAATAATTCTTTGGAAATATCACGGCTTTGGAAAATTTCGGTGTTGGAATATATGCACTCACGGAGTTTTGATTGCGTGCATTTTGAAGTGCTCAAGGTCAAGAATTTGTCTGCTGTTTTTAGGCTTGTTTGCTATGCATGTAAGATAAAGGCTCCATTTACTCTGATTTAGCAATTAGCTCATCTTAGCTAGAAAGATGTGTTTATTATGGTTCCAAATACAGCTGGTTCTTGAATACTTGAATTGGCCTGATGAGACTGTAGCAACATATTAAAGTGGGTCCTGAATGTGGTTACGAAAGGTAAGTCCGATTTTGAGTTTTACTAACTGGTAGAACAATAACTGTCAATAACTGCAGCAACCGTTTTGAATTTTGTTTCTTTCAAGGGAATCACTGTGCTGACATGCAAACAATTGTTAATGTGCTTATTTTCCTTGGTGGGCAGATGAAACAGTAACTGCTTTATTTGTTATGAAACTATTGAGTCCATTATAAGTAATTGTATCCATAATTTATAATTGACTAATCTTCATTACACTAAAACTTTTGATTATTAATTTGTGATAAAAATCTGAAACAAAAGAACAAAATAAACCAAGAATTAGGTAATGAAAGATCATGTTGCATATGCTAATATCTTCTGCCCATATACAAACAAGTAAGCCTATATCTCACAAGTTACCATGTGTTTGGTTTATGCTTTCCTTAATGCAATCTTAAGTTTTCTAAAATTGAAAAAAACAGTAGTGGCTTTATGATTATTAACATTAGCCTTTTAGTCGCACTAAGGTCAAATGTAAGTGAATGATGCATTTTTATATTATTACTTCTGTGATTAGCAAGCTGGTTGGTTGAATTTGCTTTGAGTGTATGGGACAGCTATCCCTTTGTTTGATGTGAATTGCATGGAAGGGCATAAGTAACTTGTTTGTTAGAGATGTTTTCATGCAACTTCAATCCTTCCAAATAGGTGAACATATCACGACACAGCTTTCCTGTTCTTTATTTTATTAATTTATTTAGAATATCAAGAAGCTAAATTTAGAAAACCAGAGAGCTAGTTTGTTTTTGGCTCATTGTGACGTGAATGCTGTGAAAACGAAGCTTGTCTGATCTTATGAGACATAATATCATGTGTTCTAACGTCTCAGAATGTCAAGAGAGTAAATTTCTGATATCAAACCTTTAACAAATCTTTTTAGCATTTCAAGAATGTTTTTAGAGAGCACATTCTGTTAGGAACTTAAGCACCTTGGAGAGCCACACCTCAAAAGCTAGCTGTTAAGGTGGGAGGGCCAGGCACTTAAGAACCCCACCAAGCACCCCATTCTACTCGGTGTGGGACTTTTTGTATCCCATACTACATAGGTCCTTAACAATACACCCTCCCCGGAAAGCCGACGTCCTGGCGGCTATACTCGGCGGCACTTCACTCGGCCGATCCGCCGGTAGCCCCTGTTTGGCTCGCCGACAACCGGCTCTGATACCATTGTTAGGAACTTAAGCACCTTGGAGAGCGACACCCCAAAAGCTAGCTGTTAAGGTGGGAGAGCCAGGCACTTAAGAACCCCACCATGCATCTCATTCTACTCGGTGTGGGAATTTTGGTATCCCATACTACCTAGGTCCCTAACACATTCACATGTTCCTAGAATTCACACAGTTGGTATACTTCTTATATACTTTTCAAAGTAGTGTTGTTTTTTCCAACTGCACACAAATGAACTGATATTGGATTTTCTTTTTTTCCCATTATCTAAAAGCGGTGGACATTCTGCAGGAGGTTAACGAATTGGGATTTCTACTGAGGCTATGCTTGAAAATGCCAGATAGGCAGAATTTGTTGTTACCAATATTCTATGTTGTTGGTTTAAATTCAAACATCACAGACAACGTCCTTTGGATTTAATATCATCTATGCCTGGCAACGGAGTTGGAGAAAGGGTCCACAATTTCTTTGCACAAGACACCTTGTCACAGGGGCAACATCAGTCGGAGGTATTGGACCAGAATCTTCCAGCTCTGAGTAATAACTTGTGGGCTGGAAACCAGGGATCTGTTGGTGTTCCGAGTTACACCACAAAAGGTTTTAATTTATAGCAATATGTTATTTATGCTCTTGCAAAATTGTTGACATGTCTTTTTTGTAACATCTTTTAGATTGTTTCATATGTTGAATTAGGTGTTCTTTACGGAGTATTTATTACTCCCTCCATCCCATTTTGCTAGATGCATTGTCGTTATATGCCATTCCATAATTACGATCACTTTCATAATTTGAACTTCACTATCTTTGTACTTTCCCACTTTATCATTTAATCTATCATTTCACCTATTGTTTTTGTAGGATCCATGCTACTTTCTCTTCTTTTTAAAAGTTTGCAATTGTAAAATACTCCGTAACAATTTTTTCTTTTATTTTCTTAAAGATCGTCCCAAATCCAAACATATCTTGCATTTATGGAGATAAAGGAGTACTAGTGAGTATTTGGATTCTTAGGGATCATGATGTGTTGGATTATCCAATATCTAACATGCGTTTATCTTTTATTCAAGTAGTAGATACTGGAAGAGGATCAACCAGTCACTTATTGAATGGACCACCTGGCTTACAATTCACTCGATCCACTTTGAGTCCTGAGATTCAGCTGCAGACTCAGCAGCAAAATTTGAATGGCTATACATATGGGAATCTGTATGAGACGCGACAGGATGAAGGAAATTTTCTGGCAGCAGATATAGTTTCTGATCAGCGAAATGTAGGTTCAGTCGGCTCTTCTTTCTTTGAACAATCAATGCAGGGAGTGGGCCTTCAGCATCAAGCACAGATGGTCAGTTCTGGAGCTTCTCTATCTTCTGGTAATTTTGGTCTTCATGGTGGTCAACAACTAATGAGTCGTCACCAATTAAACATGCTGCAACCTCTGCAGCTCCAGCAGACTGGGATCAAGGACTTACAGCATCTACAACAGCAAGTAATGTTCATGAGGATGCAAGAACTACATAGGCAACAAAAACTCCAGCAACCAGATGGTAGACAACAAAATTCACTAAATCAAAGTATTCCCTTTCAGAAAGTTGTACCTAGCAGCTATCCCTTTCCTCAGGTTCACAGTAATGTACACTCGGGAGCACTAGGTTTCCCTGGGGCAACTGACACTACTAACACAAATTGGTTACATGGCTGTTCTTCAGCATTGCAACTGTCACATAATGGTGTTCCTTCTAGCAATTACGGTCAAGGGCATCACATGATGACTCTGACTAATCAACAGACTGACCAATCCCTCTTTGGAGTTCCTGTCTCATCTTCAAGGGCTAGCGGAAGCCACTCTAGCCAGTATTCCCAAGGGATGACTGCTAAGCCAAAAATGCAGCAATCCGCCTCATTCAATAGTTCATTTCCCTTTCAACAATATGCTCAATTACCAGATCAAATTAGTGCTCAGGATGGAACAGTTGTTTCTAGACAAAGATTCATAGGTGAAAATATCTTTGGAAATGGTCCTAACCAAAGTCTAAACAATGCAATTAATATAGAGAACCTTCAGGAAGTGAATGCCGTTCAACAGAGTGAAACCATGCAAGAGTTCCAAGCGAGAGAGGAACCTGCTATTCCTTCAGTGAACCCACAAGAGAAAGCATCAAAGCAAGCAAACTCATCACACAATGAAGTTGGTCTTGATCCTACAGAGGAAAGAATTTTGTTTGGTTCAGATGATAATATATGGGATGCGTTTGGAAAGTGCCCCAATACGGGTGAGGAAGTCTCCAACTCGCTTGATGGTTCAGGTTTACCACATGGGTTTTCTTCTATTCAAGGTGGTACTTGGAGTGCTCTAATGCAGTCTGCTGTTGCAGAAGCCTCTAGAACAGATGTAGGACCACAAGAAGAGTGGAGCGGTTTGAATTTTCACACTAATGTTGTTCCTTCAGGTAATCAAAACGTTTCAACGCATGACAATGGGAAAGAACATAGCGCGTTGATGGATGCCCACATCTCCAGTACACCGCTATTGAATTCTGAGGCAGGTCAGCCTTCTGTCAGCGATTATATGAAGAATAGCTATGTCAGTCATCCAGGATTTCAGCAATTTGTACACAAATTTCCTAATGATATCACCCAAAATATGCAATCAAATTCTGTGCAGAGACTTGTGCAACCGTCTGAGGAAGGCAGCAAGTGGCCAGATGTTGCACCCTTACAAATGTCAGGTGATGAAGGGAGTCATATGCAGATGAACACCTCACATCGATTTGACGCAGGAGTTAATGTCAAGGTTGTTTCTAGCTCCTGGATGGATGAGCTTGATGGATCCAGTAAAAACCGTGACAAATTAAATGATTGGAGTGCTCTTGGGTCTGCAATGGCGACTGAAGATGCTTCTGCAAGGATTCATTCAAGTCACAACTACTCAAATTCTTTAGACAGTAGTCACACCACATGCTTACATGGAGATGCAGTTCATACTGCTCCTTTCTGGAAAGCTGATCCTGAAATTAGCCCTGCTGTTACTTCAGAGGTTACTAGATATTCTCCTGCTAGTGCCCCGATCAATTCAGAGCTTGTTGCCAGTTCTTTAAATGGCACTGAGGAAACCGGTAGATTTCTTTTAAAAAAGAATCAAGTTAAGTATTGGAAGAACGCTAATACCTTGTCCATGGGTAAAGAAAGTCAAGGTTTGGAAAGATCACATTCACACATTATGAAGGACAACAATATTCTGAATGCACTAGAAATGACATCTCAAACCGATGCTAAAACTCAAGAGGCAGATGCTTGTGATAAGCCGGCAAACTCCAATGACAGCTACCAGTCAAATGTTTCACACCAAAAATCTGCTGGAAGTTTGAGGGAAAACGTATTGTTAGATTCTAGTGATTCAAGGTCTCTTGCTACTGGCAAGGAAAAGTTGTATAATCAGATAGGCAAGAAAAATTCTGCTCGCAAATTTCAGTACCATCCTATGGGAAATTTGGACGGAGATGTAGATCCTCCTTATGGATTGCAAAAGGCCCTCTGTAAAGAGGGAATAGCCTCTCAGACCGCTCATTATGGTCAGTCCAAGCTTTTTATTCAGGTTCGGAAGAATCTTTTTGATGATTTGTAGCGTAAGTAGATTTTTCCTACCAAATTCTTGGCATAAATGTAAAACTGGATTTTTGGTAATTTGTTTTTTTTTTTTCCACAGGGGCAATCATCTAATGCTCTAAGAGATGGAAAAGGGCTAGCTGATGTGCACTCTCAGAGTTACTTTCCTAGCTCTGTCTCTAATATGTCTGCCCCTTTGACAAGATCTGTTGATATTCCCCCTCATATCACGGCTTCTCCATCTTCTAGGTAGTTACTATATGCATTTTCAATCTCTCAATACTATCTGATGCTGGCAGTATTTTAATAGAACATGCCAACAGTTAGTGTTTGTTCATTCACTTGAGCTTATTCCAGTGATCTCATTTCCTTCTGTACATGAAAATGGATACTACGATGTGCATTTCAATTGTATATAATACTCTTATTTTGGTATTTCTGGTTCAATATTTTATATTGTCTCATTCATTGCAGTCCAAGCATGTTACAACTTCTTCCAAAGGTGGATCAATCAAGAGTGTTTGGCGCCACTATGCATCAGAACACATTATCAGCTGAGATACCCAAGGCAGGAGACTCTGATGGGCCTGTTGGACGCGTGTATCCAAGTCACCCATCAGCTGCTCAAGTCTTTGGCCTACAACTTGGTCCTCCATCCCAGTTGATGCCAGTTCAGAACCACTTATTCTCTCCTCAAAGCTCTATGGTAACTGTTTCTTCATCCTCCCCGAGTATTGGTGATAAGGTGCATATAGCCTCTTTGTCTCAAGATGTTTCATTCCATTCTTCAAGTGAAACAGCCCAAGGAGGGTATGCTAATAAATCAGTAGTTCAAACAAATGACAATAATGAGAACAGTCATTATAAGATGCATGCAAAATTTCATCCAGCATTTAGTTCTGGATCCCCCTTTCCAAAAAGCCGGATTCAAAATCAACGGATGGCTACTGGACATGAGTTGAAAGGTCAGCATCCTAGTACTTATTTCAAGGGCACTCCCTGTTTTCATGAGGGATATGATTCATATAGGGATCCATCTTCTGGTACATCAGTGAAGAATTTCTCTCATGAAGTGGCTAGCAATGTTGCAGGTCTTAATTTACCTAAATCTTTGTGCACAGCTAAGCAGACTAATACTGTTGATCCCCATGAAATCCTTAAAAGATCAGTCAATAATTCCTTTCCTGTTTCTCAGCTTCCCTCCAGTTCAATCATGTCTCAGCAGGCATCCTATTCAAAGAATATGGATAATACATGGAATACATCTAAGGAAAACCCATTTAGTGCCCCTTCTCGTGAGGAGCCTTCAACTTTTTCATGTTTGCACCAATCAAATATTGTGGGCACATCTTCTGCTACAGAAAACCGAGGGGATCAAGATGCAACCACTGGAGGGGGGAATGTTTCGACTGAGGCTTATACAAGTTTTGTGAACCCATTGAGTAAGATGCATCAAGAAGAACAGCATATAAAGGAAAGCCCTTCTCAGCATGAATCGTTCAGAGGCATTGACTCTGTCGAGGAAATAAATAAAGCTCAGGAAGAACATATCATTAATAATCTTTCTGATGTACATCCTGTTTGTTCTGCCTCAATGCAAAGAGATATTGAAGCCTTTGGGCGATCTTTGAAGCCTAATAACCTTTCTTACCAGAACTACTCTTTACTAAACCAGATACAGGCCATGAATAATGCTGAAAGTGAACAGAGTAGTAAGGCTTTGAATATATCTCAAGCCTCATATAATGGCCCTCTTGATCAGGAAGTGTCGCATGTGGTAGTTCCCTCAGTGGATTCTAGAATGCCAAAAATCTCTGAAACGGATCCTTTGGAAAGAAATGTGACTTCTCAAGAAGTAAATATACCCACACAGTTGCATGTAATTCATATGGATGATCCTCAGACAATTTCTCAGAGAAAGAATGAGCACACTCATGTTAGTCCACAGATGGCACCAACTTGGTTTAATCATTTTGGATCTGGAACTTTTAAAAATGGTCAGGTATTAGCAATGCATGACACACAAAAAACCTCTTCCATGAAGATGTGTGAATCACCTCTCGTTCTTGACAAGTCCTCCAGTAGTTTGCATACATTCAATACAAAGAAACACCTGATACCTGCCAGTAATGATATAAGTCGACATGCTAGGCCGACCCTGCACACTATCCCTGGCGCTGCTACTGAGCTGTTTTGTGCTTCCCCATTATCATCGGTGGGTAAAGGAGACCAACATTCATTGCCAAGATCCAAGAAGCGCAAACATGTTATATCTGACTTGAATCCTTGGTGCAATTTAGTTTCACAGGGTTTGCGGAATTTGCAAGCTATCAGGTTAGCGTTATGCAAATTGACTCATAGTCTTCCATTGAGACTTTTAAGGAAATGTTTTCTTAAATGTTAACATGATTGAGCGATGCTTGCAGCCTTGGTGAAAGGGAATGGGCAGAAGCTGCAGATCGAGTTGTTGAAAAGGTACAATTTTAGGCTGGTTGAACAAACACAGATTATTGATTCCTCTCGCTTGTTAGTATCTTATTAGTTTATTCTAATGAAAGGTTGAAGAAGATGTTGAGTCTAATGGAAGTGTCCCTCCTCGACATAGAGCAAGAAGAAGACTTATCCTGTCTACTCAGCTTATGCAGCAACTATTTCAACCTCTACCAAGAACAATTCTTTTCTCAAATTCATATGCAGAATATGAGGCTGTTGCTTATATGGCATCTAGATTGGCATTGGGTGATGCATGTGGTGTGGTTCCTAGCTCTAAAGGCGACTACATCGTGGGAACTGATGGCAAAGAAATGTAAGTCTGCATTGGAATTAAATGGAGCCTGATTTTCATGTCTGCTTTTGGTAATTTATCTCCCCTCATTGCTATATTGTTTCATGCTTTTTAGATTGTATAGAAGGTGTAAGACATTGGAGGACAGCTATCATCATCTCGCAAAAGTTTTGGAAGAGTTCACCGAGAGGGGAAGAAAGTTAGAAGATGAATTTTCGAAGTAAGGCTCACTCTTATTTCGTTTTACACATTCCTACATTTATAAATTTAGACATCACATTAGTGCCTCATGTATGATTTTTGCATTTGGCTTGACTTTCTTAGTTTGTTAGTCAAAACTTGTGTTTTCTCTGGGCTGATTTGATCGTTTTACACCTATGAGCTAAGCCAGTCTGCATTGTTGGCTCAAGTATTTTGACATGTACAACATATAGAATTTAATACTGACAGATACTTATTAATCATCTCGTTAAATCCCTAGGTTGTGTGCTCATATACAGGAGCCCTCTACTACAATGGTCAACATGGGAAAATAATAGTGGCACTGTAGGGGGTATCTGAGGGGAGGGTTGCCCAATCAGTTGTTTTAGACCTACAACACTGAAGTTGGACTAAGACTTGCGTCCAAGCCTAAATGCATTTTAGCAAATATCTTGTTGAACAAATGTCTGTTCACCAGCAAATGCTTGGTTTGGGTATAAGTTTTTTTTTTGGGATTTTTTTCATTTGGGGGGGGGGGGGGGTATATTGTTTATTTGGTTTGTAGTTTGTTGTTTTTTATAAGTCCACACGTCTCAGCTACTTCTAATAACCATTTCTCCAGTTTTCTTAGTTGTGCTCTTTCATGTGAATAGACTGGACAGGAGAGCGTCACTGGTGGATTTGGTAACGGAAAACCAAGATTTGGAGAAGTTTTCTGTCATAAACCGGTTTGCGAAGTTCTATGGCCGAGGTGGCCAAGCGAATGGTACAGGTTCCTCACCAGATGCGGCCACACACCCTTGCACTTCTTTTGCTCAGAGACATGTGACTCTACTCCCATTGCCTAGGGACCTCCCTAGTGGGGTACAATGTTTCTCCCTGTGATATATCAGTCCCTTCTGCCCGCTGCTGTTTTTTAGCCCACAATCTACCCTTTTTTGGCCTTCATGACACGTTTCATGTTGGTTATGTACTTGGCACCTGCAACAACACATAATAGAACCTCTCATGGTGGAACAGCAGCAGGTGAATGAATGTATATGTTTTTAAGTTGCACAGAAATGCAGGCGCCGACTAATTTTTTTTTTGTGAATGGGTAGATTTTCTTCTAGCCTGGCCTGTCACGTGGAGATATCGGCACATAGTTTAACTAGATTCCATGCTTTTCTACTGGTATGTACATACATACAATAGATCCCCTTGTCAGATCTAAGAGGCTTCTATTTTGTTAATTAATTATTTCTGTCATGTTGATCTGTTTATGTTTATGGTTCTGTTCCAGAGGGTCTCAATTTTGCAGTTGTATAAAAGTTCCTGTTATTTAGAGAATTCATGTACAATTAAGACCCCCTCCCCTTCCCTCTCTTATGGGTTAATGGAACCAAAATTTAGTTATGGCCTGTTGCGAGATGGCCAAGAGGTTGAATGCTTCTCGTGTCTCTCAGTCTTTCTATCATGTATCAGATAGTCAAGATTTCCCAGTATCAGCAGTCATTACTTCAAGTCTTCAACCATTCAGTTCAGGTTTGGCCGTGTAGACTTTCATTTAATTGTTGAAGCCTCTCATCTAAGATGCACACTTTTTAGTACTTTCGTCAATTATGCATATGACATGTAACTTTTTTAGAGAGAAATCAGGAATACCAATATGAACATGCTTTAAATCAGCTAAAGAAGGGAGACCCATCTTACATCGAAATGGAAGTGACAACATATGAAAATAACAGTAACAAAAATTACAATAGAAAATGTTCAGAAAAGATTGGAAGCCTGAATAACAGTCTTCATCATCATTAGACGTATAACTTAAGCTAATGGAAACAATGATATAATTGGGCATGGAGCCGGGCCGGGTCGGGCCCGGGCCTGGGACCGGTCAGGCCTTTTGTGATTGGGGTAAGGCCCGGGACCAGTCCGGGTTGCCAGTGGGTCCGGGCCGTGCCAAGCCTTGGGCTAGTTTATATATTTTTTTTTTTGCTTTTTCTAGTTAACCCCCGACCCCCCCTCACCCCCACTCCCTCAAATCAGCCCAAATGGCCCAAAATACCCAGACCAAATCGGAAAGTTAAAAAAAAAGAATAGAGCCCGAACCGGGCCCGGAACTGGCCGGGCTGGTTCCATATTCCCTAGACCCGTACCCGCCCCGGTTACCCCCCAAAACCGGGCCTAGACCCGGAATCGGTTCCCGGGCTGGGTCGGGGCCGTACAGTACCGGACCGGGCCGGTTCCGGGGCTGGGTGGCCCGGACCGGGCCCAAGCCTAGATATAATAGATCGTGTGAACAATGGTGTTTGTTAAGTTTATACGCACAACGAATGTGATGTACTCAAATCATACCACCACATGTTTTTATAATAAAATAGAAATGCACTGATATTGACAAAGTTCATATAAACAAAAAACCTAACAATTTACAATTGAAATGCATTACCTTGTTTAACTACGAGTCTACGAATTGTATCAAACGTTTCTTGATTCACAATAGTTCAAAGTTCAACTCAAACATTATAAATGTTAAAAATATTTTTTAAAAAATAACCATAATAAGTTTTATTAACTCTTTCTATTTTTTTATATCTTTTTCAACGTTCAAACTAAAAGTCAACAAATCATTAAATCATTCTTCCTAAGTTGTTCATATACATATCTGATGACGAATGTATCACAAGTCACAACTCTATTCCGAGAACAAGTTAAATCTTTTCCGTAGCTCTGGTTATAAATGTTGATGTAAGATCAGGGGCGGAGCCAAGGGGGGTCAGGGTGGTCAGCCGACCCCGCTGAATTTTCAAGAATGTAGAGCTCTGAAATACCTTCGATTTGATATATTATGGGTCCCGTAACTCATTACGAGTAAAAAGTTGTGACTTCTGAAAAAATCAGCATCATTTTAACTTGAAATAAGCAAAATTTGATGTGTGACGTTGATTATATTCTTAAATTTAAAAATAAAACATCTTATTCAATCATTAGTTGTGTGACCATTATGATACATTACATATATACAATACATTAACTGAAAATGGCTCATTAAACTATCATTTATCTCAGTTACATATGAAACATTTAATTCAAGTATTGCATAATAATTATCCATCATTTTGATACTGTGTATAATTAAACTCCGACCCCCCTCACACACTTTTCTGGCTCCGCCCCTGTGTAAGATGATGTATTCTTTATGCCATTAGAGACAAATTCAAGTATTTAAATTCAACACTTCTCTCCATTGGTTTTACCTTCTAGATAGATTGCTGTCAAATCTTTAGGTCCTTTATTATAACTTTAGTGCAATTATATTCACATGCATAGTTACTATTTACAATCACTAGATTAAATTTTGATCAATTAAATGATATGAAATACCTAATTAGCCCTCGTGTTTGATACCAGTTATCACTCACCTATCGTCATTCAATTATCCATCATCATTTTCTAGTATAATTAGAATTATCCGATGGGGTGGGACAGTTCTTTGGGCCCACGTTCTTGGACGATCCAATCCAAAAGAGGAGCCTAATGGGCACAGTGGCACACCCTTTATTATAAACAAAAAATCGGGTTGGTTCGGCCCAAACCGATATTTTGAGTATGGGAAATTCTATTCATAGCCATGAAACTGCTAATTATAGCCACTAAATTAATAATAATAAATCAACGTAATTAAAATCCCTAATTTAACCTTACAACTAGATAACGATCGCCACTCACCCTTATTACGGCGAGGCTAGAAAAAGCTGTGAAGCAATCAGAAGAAATCTGGGAGTCTCCAACTCTCAAGCTCAAAAGACCAGAAACGAAGAAGGCTAAAAAAGCTGAAAGGCAAAAAATCTGCATTTATAATTTTCCTTCCCCATAGACGAAAAGAAATCCATCTCGTCATTTAGAAAACCTATCTTTCCCTTTCTAGTTTAAACATTCCTCGCTACATTCATTCGATCGGGTTGGCAGAAGGTGGAAAACTGAGGATGGAAGAACACGATCTTGACTGGTTTCTTAAATACTAATTGTCTAGTTTTCACAATCTCGACAATTATTTCCACAGGAAGCTCCAAATACTTTGTGCTTTTTACATTATTTCATTTATTCAAATGTGTGTGTGTGGCAAAACATAGGAAATAAATTAAAAAACCCAACTTAGAAACCAGAGGTAAACAACTTTCAGGTACATATATCAAATACCACGATTGAGAAAACAATGTACTTGTGATCGATTTGAGACTTGTTTATTATAGAAAGTGCATCAACCAACCAAAAAGATCAGAGGAAGCCCTTGAAACTAGGATTCAAGAAAAATCCCATGTAGAAAGAAGACCTAGCATACAGAGGCAATTGCCTCTAATAACGAAGCAGCAAATTGCATTTGGGTCTCCTCATCTATAGTTAGGAAGAGAGGGTAGTGTACAAATAGGGATTTTGTTCTGTTCTGCATCTAGCTTCTTCAGTTTGATCGGCCTCATTCGAGAAACTGAGCTGTGGTGCTGGTAGTTGGATGTGTGGATATATGAGCGTGAGGCTGAGACGGAGTATTAATTACTCGTATAATTAAAACTGAGACGGAGTTAAAATACGGACATAATTGGAATTACATTTTAATACGAAAGTAGGTGTGTGTAACTAGCAAAAACAGGACTGTGTTTAGAATTGATTTCGAACCATTTTTTTGGGTCCCGATTTTTGGTGCAAAAATTTATTGATTCGGTCCGGTTCGATTTTGTTTCAATGCGGTTCAATTATTTTTGGTTTGGTTTTTGTTTTTTCGATTCAAAATGCCAACCCTACTTGGTATCACTGGATGCATTCAATGACTACATTCACCAGTTGTAGATTGCTTTTGAAAAGTTTCATGTTGTAAAGGAACATCTTGACTTAAAGAAGCTTTATCGGAAAATTAAGCGAACAATAATGAGAAAATTAAAACCGATGTTTCACTACTGCATGATTACAAACTATTTAACGGGGCTGTACTCGAGATGAATGAAGGATAAAATTATTTTTTAAGTATTTAAATATATCAAAATTAATTAAGTGGTTATGAATAGTAATTGAGTGACTTTAAATATAATCACACATAACTTTATCTTTCAAGTCTTTGCTTGATAATTAACTAATCAGTTTGGGACATAATTAAAAAAATTCCAAAACACTATGATTGATACTGATTTCAATATCAAATCAAATCAGACCGGACTTAATTAGACTAGACCAAATTAAATTGGACCTACACAAAGTAAAATACACATAAAACATACAGTTACTGGATCAAATTAATCCTGATCAGATTCAAATACATCAAATCAAACGCCAAAATACCATGACAATTAACATAAAGTTCAATGTCAACAAACTATGCCATTTAATAATAGTGAGGAAAAAAGAAATAAAAGTCTTACAAATGTTAGTGTAAGATACAAATAAAAAATTATAAAAGTCTTACAAATCATTGACTCGGCATTGGTAGATGTCATGAGAGAATACCTGATGCGAGTACAAAAACAACGAGGCCTTTTTTCAACACCTATCTTATACAAATAATCGCAGATACAAGAATTTTCTACATTTAATGAGGTCAAATACTCTTCAAATTGAGTAGGAGTGGCGTACGGCCCTAGTGGCCTGCCTGATTAAACTTCCACGCATGAAGACCCATAGTAGGGCCCTTGAATTTTGTCCTAATATTTCTTAGCAGGTAGTACACACAATAGTCATGTTGAATATGTTGAAACACTTCTTTTGCTGCATGTATAATAACCCATGACGATATGAAACAATACATAAGTCATGTTTACATGCAAGACACTTTTTTAGTTTCTAAAAAAACCAAGTCCATGTTTTCTTTTGCTCAGTATCACACACACCCAAAGCCAAAGGAAAAATTTGTTTGTTAGCATCTTAAACACATGTAATTAGTAGAGTACGTACTCTTGTAATATGCTTTTACAAATGGCCCATCAATGATAAGAACGAGAATACAATGTTTCTGACCTTGAATCCATTTTCATCCAATGACATGAAAAAGTACTTAAAACAATTATCAGCACCAACATCTAAGAAGATCATGGAACTATGATGTTTGATTTTAAGAACATAAACAATTGAGGGTGTATAGTAACAACCGATATGACTGCTCATCTTACCCATCAGTTTTTCTTGGTCTTTTTATTTGCAATCCAAGCATTCTTGAACGGCAAATAACTCATAATCTATATTTAAATCAATAATAATATCATTAGGAGTATACAGTTTCGTAGTTGCAATTGCATATCGGTGTTTGATGTGTTGAATATTTATATATGTGGTGGCTTGACAGCGGGGACCTTGTTTCACATCGATTAAGTATGTATGCACAGAACCAAACCTGAAAAGTAATAGGACGGTAAGAAGACATTAAAAAGATGTTAAATAGACATTAAATATTAAGAGGATAATCCAAAAAGTGCAGAGAGAGCTATAACAACACAACGCAGAACACGTAATCGGTAATCCCCAATTTGAGATGAACTAGAGGTTCAGAAGCTAATGTTGTAGAAGGAAATTTTGAAGTCCACTAAGCATAATAAACAAACCGTACAAATGTATCTTGGTTACAAATTGGAATATAAATTTCATAGTCTGAAAAATGCATCAACCACAGACTTCATTGACAACTGAAAGGAGAAGACAACATACTCGAAACTGTAATCACAAAAACAAAAACACAACAACAAAATGCAAACTTATAACA